AAATGTATAAACATCTTTACTAAGAAGTAAATATAAAATTTAATCCGTGAATATGCTCAGAAATGGCCTATTCTATCATTTTCACGGATTAAATTTTGCATTTAGTTCTTTGTAAAATACAAACGTTTGATAACTTTAGATGTTATGCACCATAGTGTTATTATTGATCAGTTTTTATTATAATCATAATCGATCAAATGTTTCAGATAAACTATTTTTAAATAAATTTGCCACAATATTATTTGAAGGATTATTGATCACTAACCTTTAAACTGATGAATCTGATTTTTTAAAATAAACACATTGCATTTTTTGTGAATAGTACTGTACAGAGAAATATCCCAAGTTCACCCTCTATAAATGCACACACGATATACACCCGCCCTAAATACACGTTATGACTCATTTCCAAACTTATAAGGTCTCTAATTATTTACTCTCTATAAATGCACATCCTCGTTAAATGCACACTCTGTCTTTTTTTTATATGATCCCAAGGGGGTGCACTTAGAGAGGTTTCTCTGTACTTCCATTTCTCTGTACGTACTTCCATTTTTAACTTTACAAACATGTACATGCAATTTGCTGCGCTCGTGTATTTTGGTCCATAGCAGATTTTTAAAATTACTTGCACGTGCAAGAATTTTTTAATGTGCAGAAAGTTTTAATGTTAACGTTAAAACTTAATCCACAATTATACATATAAAATTGCACAAAAAATCAGTTAACTCACTCTTAAAGAAAATTTCATGCACGAAATTATACAATCATGTAGAAGACTTTCTTTTTTCATATTTGTCCTTGCTTATTGGAATAAAATACGGTAATAACAATCGTGCATCAAATTTTACGACATTTGTGTACATGTGCACCATGCAATGGGGTGTTAATTAAATTTTAAACACTAGTACAAACGACTATGACCCATTTCTAAAAATACTATGACAAATTGGTAAGATTTTTGTAACACACACTTGATATAGCTTGGAGAATCACAATTTCAAAAGAACGTTCATATGATTGTTGAAATTTTCGACTTGCGTGCCATTTTTTATATTGCTCATTGAGATATTTTTCCGCACTATCATATCATATTCATCTATTAGGTGACGCTTTTTCACACGAATATCCAAAAGAAGTTAAACTTTCCGAATTTACACTATTCTGATATGATGATGCAGATCATTTCCTTATTATGGACACATGCAGTTTCGGCATTAGAATTAAAAGGGAAAAAAAGAATATACATGTACCATACAGTATTTTCTTAACTCGATATGATGCGTATTATCTTCATACATATTTAGGCGTACTTGGATTTTTTGTCTCATCTTTTGTTTTCTTCTTCACTACAGCAAAAGTTCGTTTATACCACACGTCGAGTTTCGAATTAACTCATTAATTCTGTTTGTGTGTTGGTTTATACATGCTTTTTACGATATCCATGTTAACATAAAACTAACACCATAAAAAATTTATTCGTTTCGTACAAAGCATACATTTAATATAATACTTCTTTCTCTATATACACACTGACGACATAAAAATGGCCAACATTCAATCTATGACAGACCAGGAGTCTGAAAAAAATAATAGAGCATCATACACGACAAACGCTACAGGAGTCCTCAGTTATATGGAAACTGAACTCAGCCATGATGATAATCAAGAGGAAATTGAAAGAAATCTTGTGGATGGCAACGATGCAGCAAAACAAACAACAGATACAGATAAACCTTTCTATCGCCGAAAGCGTTTCTGGGTTATTTGCGGAGGAATCAACGTCATCATTTTAATCATTCTAATCCCATTAATTATATTGGTCATATTCCCGTCGGTTGCTCAGAAGGCAATCAATAACTCCAACCTATCATTCTCTTACATGGCTCTTCAAATGCCAATAAAGAATGACTCATTCAGTATGTCCGCTGTAGGAGAAGTCACCAATGGTGGCTCGATAAGTGGTAGCGTGACTTTTCCCGAACCTGTTGATATAATTTGGAAGGACACGAAAATAGGAAAAGTTCAACTTCCTGATTCACAGTTTTCTGGTGGAAGTGCAAAGATAAATAGTACGGGAATATTCAATATCACAAATGCGGATGCTTTTGGCCAGTTTACCATCGCGCAATTGAGTAACGACAATTTTACTTGGACATTGGATGGAAAAGTCGATGTAAAAGCTTTAGGAATAACGAAACGCGGGTTGGACTTCAAAAAAAATATTGTTATTCAAGGTGAGCAATCAGATGAATTTGATTATATTCAATAATAAATTTATTGATTTATTGATTTGATATTTTTAGGTGGTGCTGGCTTTAAAAACTCATCGTTAATATATTACCAGTTTATTACGTATAACAACACCCCATTGGGCGGACAAAGCGTCACCGCATCTATCTGGAATCCATCACCAATTTCGATTTTCCTAGGCACTTTAGGGCTCGACGTTTATTACAAAACCACGTTTTTAGGTTTAATTGAATCCCAAAATCTTACCATTAACCCGGGTCAAAATACGATAGATTTTGTAGGAGGCTTGGCTGTTAATTTCACACTCCGCGATAGTCCAAACGTGGCTGAGCTCTTTAGTAGAATTCTATCACAAGAACCGGTACTTACTACCTCCAAGGGAGCTTTTGCAAAACCAGATGGTGTTAATGAAGTAACCTGGCTATCAACTGGAATTCGATCAATGGAAATGGATAATCTTCTTCCCAACGTAACACTTCCACCACTTCTTTCTTTATTAAATCTTACATTGTTAGGATAATGAAGAAAGAATTTCCATTATAATCACGTGTACTAGATTTTCCACTTAGTCATAACCTATATACAATTACACCCTATATAATCAAAAACTTGCACATTTTTCTAGTTCTAGCTATAATGAAGCATACTCAGTAATAGCGATAGGAAATTTGATCTCTATATAATTACAAACGTGAGAATGGGATATTGGTGGATTCGAAATCCACTTAGTGTAGACTTATAATCGTTTGGCCAACACTAACCCCTCCCTAATTTGGGCCGATTCCATATATCCCCTTCCCACTTGCAACATATATAAAGAATATTTTTAGATGCAATAATAAAAGTATTTTATTAAATTCTTGTAACATTGGAAAATCGGTTTCGCATATCGATAACGTTAACAACACTTTAGACATACGGTAATCTTTCTTTTCATTTCTGAATGTTTAGCTTGATGTCAGATACCAAAGTGTCGTCTTCAGAAGAACAGATTTCTAAATTGAGTGACTAATGATTCTGGCCCAATATTAATGGATTTTTGAGCAGCGTTGGAAATTTAATGTTCTCATGAGCGTTGAAAAAAAATTGCGAACATTGTTGCGTCGATTATAACAATCAGTTAGAGGTTTCTCGCAACATGAATGAGAGATAGACTAAATTATTTACGATCAAAGGGTTTCTTTAGGCGTTCTAAGGATTTCCCGTGGCGACTTGTACGCAAATCGACTTTTTTAGTAATAGGGGCGTTTACAATTATTATGATTATATTGATTTGATTTTCGTTACAAGAGTATTTTTTTAAAACATAACAGGACTTATTGATACGGTCTGGTCAAAGAAAAACTAAATATCCAAATAAAAACAAAATATCAATCCAAAAAAATCAACGGCTTATTTAGAGTGAAGGAGCATCCACTACATGCAATTACTCGCAAGTTTTGAAGCTGATCACAACAGAATAAAATAATAGTGTATTTACGAGTAATATTACTACAAGTAAGAACTTGGTTATTTTTATTTTGATCAAGACATGTTTTTGCGAAGGCTCGAAAGTACCTCTATATACAGGATGAATTACTACGCTAACTCTAAGGTTAATAATTTACTTCTGTTTCTTTGGGGCTTATTAGCAACAATCAAGTATCTATCGTTCGATTTCCAATCTATTTTTCTTAAAGGGTTATTGTCTACAGATAACCGTTTATCCTTTAGATAATCATGCGTTGAGACGTTTAATAATATCAAAGAATCGGGAGGGAAGTTTATGACAAAGAAAAAAAAAGGTATTGTTTCGTTTATATTTTGTATCGGTATTATAATTCGGGTCAATTAGGAAACTAATCTAAAAAAAGGATTTCTATTTAAAAAATTTTTAAGGTAGATCTACGGAATTAGGTAACATCTGGAAATTGTGGGATTTGTGATTTATGTTCTCAAAAAGAGTCTCCAGTTTCTCCAATGTTCTCATATATCATTCCAAAATACTAAACTTGTGTTTAGCACACTTTTATTATGCATTGACAAACATTATGCTTATGATTTTTGGATCATTTCTTCTCATTTCTTCTCATTTCTTAAATATGTAAAATTTAATTTATGTATATTATATTGAAAAATAAATAATTTCTATTTTTTATTTTATGAACATTTCAAGTCAAAATTTGTTCTCTATTATGCACATTAAAAATTTTTAAGAACCTAGAATTAAAAATTAATGTTCTCAAAAATATTTTATTTTCATAAATTAAATTCGAAATTTCTCAAATTCTTTGGGTTCAAATTTTCTAAATTTATTAAAAATTTGTCAATAGTATCGAGATCAAGCCTTTTCCAAGAACGATGCTTACCAATAACTAAGCTTTGTAACCTGGTACAGGATTTAACAAGCTCAAATATCGACTCCAAATCTTGGGTGTATGTAATAAAACAACGAAAATGTAAAAGTTTAGGACAAATACTTCCGACATGTTTAAAGAATAGGTGATAGTCCTTGTCAGTGTTGTATGGTGGTATCCAATATTCTCGTCCGATTTGAAGATCGAGGGTAGTTAAGTTTTGTGAGTTTACTTTGATAATTTTCAATATTTTGTGAGCGTAAATTTGAGAATTTGAGAATGATAGTTTTTGAAGATTTGGTGGACTGGAGGTGTAGAGTAATTTCAGCGGGGTTAAATTCCATTGATATGATAATTTAACGAAATTCAATTCTTTGAGTTTTTTGAATTTTTTTAGATTAGCAATCTCTTGCCAATGTAAGGAATTTAGTTCGCCAAATGACAAAATTTCTAAACTGTTTGCATGTGCTTCTAATGCTTCCATAATGGTCATGCAATTTGTTTGTGTATGCCACTTTTCAAATATCTCTAATTTCTTTCCAGATAATCCATTTGAAATTAAATTTGGTAATAATCTAGGCGCTCTATGGCACCAAAACACAAATTTTCGCAATTTTTTTTGCTTCATAATAAGGTTTGCAAGGGTTTTGGATTCCTCCATAATTTCGTCGACATCTTTATCAGGATCCGACTTATATTTCGCTTCTTGATTAATTCTAACAAGTATTTCTTGTAGATTATGACATTCTTGAGATAATTTTGTTAATATTCCTGTTTGCCTTTGTGGATTTACGAAGCAAGTAACTTTGACCAATGATGCAGAAAAATAAGCGGAAGAGGATATTTGTTTTGGGATGGTGTAAGAAACACATTCAGTTGCTTGAGATAAAGATTTATCATTCGTATGAAAAAAAGTATGTAATGATCTTGTAGCTTGGTTTTCTGTAATTTGCGACATGGATAGTGGTTATGCATTCTTCTTTGTTAATTATTTTCGAATTAAGAAAATTGTTTTCACTGGCTTATTTATGGTTTTTCTTTGTACTATGGAATATACATTGGGCACACACAGTCTTGTAGCGGCTAGTAAACTTATTAATATTAAAAAAGAAATGTTTCAAAGATAATAAATTTGATATCTAATGAAATGCGGAATCTAGAAAATTTGTTTTGGCGAAATGAAAGTACTTATATTTTCCATTAAGAGTGAGGTCAATGGGTATTTAGCACAGATAATGGCGTTTAGGAATAATAATAATGGTTATTCTTATTTGTTCGCCCATTTTTTAAGGAAATGCGCCGAAACTCAGGTTGTTCGAGAATTTACAAGATTAGTGTGGATTATTGTAATATTTTTTAATTAACTACTGCTTTTTATATATATATTATTTTGATTGGTTAATTATGTGTTATTAGAAGTACCATTTGTTAGGCTGAATGCTCAATGTCATTATAACGACAAGTGATGTATACCATTACCGTTACGGAGCATTTGTCATTTTCATTGACTAAAATTACGTAATGATCGGTTGTGGCATTCCATTCATAATTTTTACATACAACAGAATGATCATTATAACTCGCTTAACTAAATTATAAATAATTGGGTATTATTTTTTAGAGAACTTTTTTCATCAGATGATTTAACATGTGAATGATATTTATTGTGAAATAGAATTTTATGGGATTATATTTTGTTATCTACATATATATCTAGCTGTAGTTTTTCTTTATCGTTATATAATTTTCTTTTAGATAGTGATCATCAAATTCTATAAAAAATTGGGATAGCGATAGTAAATATGTATGTCGTATATAGGATTTTTTTATTACGCAATAAGGTGGTTTTATTAAATACCTAATACATGTACATGTATCATACAAATTACATCACACAGCTTATCGTTATCTACGTATCTCAAAAAAATGGTTTTCGTTTCATATCGATATGTTGTATCAATTACTAAATGTAGCTCATAAATTAATCTTGATAACGATAAACAAGAGCATTCATTCTTTCGCATCAGCATCAGTTATATTAGATTTCGCCCATTTTCATCATATTGGTTTCACCAGTTCACTATTTAGTCATTACCTTTGTGTCTAACTTGCATCTTTAGTATTGTTTGGATTATTAATTATGACAGAGGCATTGATTTATATCGAAAACTAGATCATGATCTCTGCAAATCTATCTTATATGAACGTGGAAAGGAGAACACAGGCAAGATATAATAAATCAATTAAAACTTATGATCGTGTTCTTTACCTCTCTTTTAAGAATGGCGGTGCTAATTCTGTTAATTAGGTCACCACTTTGATTCCTCGATTCACGTCCAGTTAACAACTTCGATTTCGTACATCTTTCGTTGTATCGACATAAGTTTTCTTTCATAACTAGTGACATTTCATTTGCAACTTGCTGACTTTGAAATGTCTGTTTTAGATTTTGTTTTGAACATAGAACATCCCATTTCATGTAAGCATGTCTTGTTGATTTGAAGCATTTACAGCTTTTTTGATTGTGCTGACAAGTGAAATCACCTTGTTCAATAAGAATTTCATTTTCAACTTGAAACAGGGCTTACTATCCTCCATCATCTTATAGATTTGTGATTTTATTTCTCCCAGGTTAATATTTAGCAGCTTTATAATGGATTCATTATCTGAAAATAACTATTCGTCACTCAACGATATTTTTCAACTAGTTTTTTCAGTCGCTTCAAATTCGGAAAGTCATGCACGCAAAAGTTCTACTAACACTAGCAATAGCAATTCGGCACCATTTCAGGAATTTTATCAGATTTGTCAGAATTTTGCTGAAATAGGTGGCAATTTTGACGAAATTCAGGGCTAACATCCGAATTCTATTGTATTTCGTCCAAGTTCGGATGTCAGCCCTGAATTTCGTCAAAATAGCCACCGACTTCAGCAAGACACGGACAATTCCTGAAATGGTACCGAATCGCTACTGCATTTTGACATTTGGAGCAATGTGACGGGTTAATTCTAGTATTTTATCCGCGTGCTTTGATATCGTTCCTGAAACTTATTGCATTGACTTTCGGATCTCTTCAATTTTTCAAGAATGCTCACGCTTCCCCATGAAAAGAGGTTGTGATGCTGGGAACTTTCTTTTTTTTTTATATAAACTCTCAAAGTATCCTTTAGATAAGGCACTCCCATAATATCCGGGTCTTATGTTAAGAATAATATTTTTTCTTAACATAGTCCTGGGTATTATGTAATTCATGCTAATTTTGTATAAGACCGGCGGTATATTTCCATTTCATCTTCAATTTAATCGTTTAGTATAAAAAAACGCGTTCGCATAAATAATAAATGTGGTTTTTGTACGAGATGTTTTAATAGAAATTCTAGGTTTATTTATTTAGCCAATCTCCATTACAAAAGACAAGGTCCGAATTTGTAATATCCTACCGAAATAAGATCCTCTTCCTTACATAGTACCCGGGTCTTTTATTCAGTGCTATATGGTAATCTTGAAATATGAAACTTTACATTTGATCAAAAATATTATTCATATTACCTTTAACTGAAGAACCTTTGTTGACAAGTGTTTTTCATGTTACTGCATTCATTTCGAAGTTTTGTCGAAGACTTTCTGTTGAAGATGTTCAATCTTGCGGGGAAGAGGCGAGAGCTCATTTGATGAGGAATCAATATCTATCAGCTAAGCGAAAAATGAGTTTCAGATGATTTAAAATACGTTCATAAGGGCAGTGACATTTATTAGCTAATATTTTAGAGGGTGGGGGAGAGCTTGATCTTAAATAGAACAAAATAAAGCATTTTAATTGAGTAAAAGATCTTACCGGGAGGTGGGGGAGGAGGCACCTATATTAAAATAATATTAGCTAATATATGTCAGAACCCTAATACAACACTTTTATTAATAGAGCTTGTCCACAAGCGAATGATTACCCATATTTTTGACAGTTCACGTAATGGGATTACACTTTCGTGTTGGTTGCTCGCTATCTCATCGATATTAATTACTTTTGTCGTCGTTTCACTGTCACCCAAATCGGACCGCGTGATTACCTTCGGAAAAAAATAGTTCATAAATAATCCACAGTTTTGGGATAAAATATATTTAAATTTATCACGTGTCGTATTGAAACCACCTACGTATTTCATTTGCGACTTCATTCAAGTCGTTAGGATTTCGTTCGAGTCTGTCAAAGAATCCAACATATTAAGCGAGTGTGGCATCGCACAATGAAGTGGTTCACTGTCTGAATAATTATGTATAACCATTCGTTGATAATAACACGATGCAAATTTTAACGTTAACGTTAATGGTATAATTAATATCACTTACATGTATGTGTGAATCAATGTTTAAAAGTTATATACGATACATTTTTTAAAAGTACAATATGCAAATTTTTAATTTTTAAGCATATCGATATCGGATATGAAATTACCTTTTCTTCGAATAATAGCGATAGCCAATAACGATCTCGAAGTCTTCGAAAACTTTAACCACAACCGCTACGCTCACAAGTGACCTCTAAGGAGTGCATTTAAGTTATCTCGAAGTCTTCGAAAACTTTAACCACAACCGCTACGCTCACAAGTGACCTCTAAGGAGTGTGCATTAAGTTATCTTTATGCATAAACTCCTCATCGATATGCGGCGTACATGTTATCATTATGCCTATAGAGGGGTGACAACAATACGTAGCAACAAATTGTTGAGTTTGATATACGTATTGATTGTTAACTCGATATATTGACAGTTGCAGTTATTTACAAACTTGCACGAAATTCTTGTGCTTCAAACACACGACATTCTATTTATTATTAGATACAGAAACATATAAACACGTTTGACCAATACACGTATTACATCTTTTCCAATAAGAAACAAAAAAGCTATGGACTAATAGTTTTTATTTTGCTACACTTAACAAGCAAGCACTATATCTCTTTATTTAACCGTTTTGTTCTATTCTATGAAGTTTGGAAATTTTTTCTCAATTAATTTGGACTCATTTAGTAGATTAGCATGGAGAAATATGAGTAGTAAGTAGCCTTATCATTTTTTACGTATTATACTGTACGTCGTTTTGCTATATTTACGTTTTATACTATACGTCGTTTGCTATACACTATCGTTATAGTTAAATCAAATAAAGAAATCATCATTAGCGTTGGGAGCTGGAAAGATATCTTTGAATAAAACGCCAAAATGGATTTAGAGTTATTTTTGTTTCCAGTGCTCCATGCTTAATGTTTGAAGTCCTAGCGATAGTTGTAAGCTTTTCGAAATTTCCCAGGGGATAATGCTTCAGCAGGTATACAGAGTACAGGTTTTACTGTTTTTATCGTATGTTCGAGCAAAGAAGTATGGTATGGTACAGATTTATACTACGCTCTATATCGAGTCCTACGATAAAACGTACAGTACAAGTTCTTAAAGGAGTGACGTAAGGTGAAAAAATCTAGTACCTATGGTGCATAAAATCTAAAGTCATATTTTATAAAATGTATAAACTTCTTTACTAAGAAGTAAATACAAAATTTAATCCGTGAATATGCTCAGAAAGGCCTATTCACGGATTAAATTTTGTAATTACTTCTTAGTAAAGAAGTTTATACATTTTATAAAATCTGACTTTAGCCACGGCAAAAAAAGTATCCCACGTGATTCCAACCCCCCTTAAAATCATGTATATACCAATCAAATCGCAAGATCAATGTGTAACGCAAAAAAAATTGAAAGCAAACGCTTACTTTTGAAAAATAGCTTATATCTTGAAATCTTATGAAACAATCATTTGTGTTCTAACAAAAAATGTTCCTTGCGAAAATTTACTATTTTACTACATAGTATCTTCACGTTTGTTGTATAATAATCTTAACCTTAAACCTAACCCTAACCTTAACCGAAATTCTTTAATATTATGCATTATAATTAAGGGGGATATCTGAATCATGTGACCTTATACTTTTTTGCCGTGGCTAGGGTATTAAAAAAATCAATGCGTACAACATGCACATGTATGACAATACGCATTTGTTGTTCTGTATTAGAATAACGCAACAACTATAAAAAGTAACGACTGTACGTGTATAAAATGACCCTAGTTGTCTAAAGAGTGCATAGACTCAATGTTTTGATGCTATTTATAAAGTATACATCCTGGAAGTTTCGATAAAAAAATACCAGGAAGGCAATTTTACAAATAATCTAACCCTAACCCTAATCCTAACCTTTAAACTAACATTTAACAATAATCTCTATTACCTAGAATTTTTCGGAAATACAATATTACGTATCAATATAGCGTAATACGTACAAATATTGTATGTAAAATCACACGAAACTTCCACGACAAAGATAATTTTTCTTTACAAATAGCATCAAAATATTGACTTTTATCACCTGATTTTTTAGGGGAGGGAGTCAACGATGATTATATAGGCAATATAAATAATATATCAGGTGGAGTGAGCCTTATAAAGTCACTTCCCTTACACAACTAGGGTCATTTTTATATACAGTCGTTACTTGTTATAGTTATTATTTTATTAATATATTTTGATATGTATATATAGTATAATTTGTCGCGTTATTCTAGTCTCAGCATGTTGCACACATTGATTTTTTCACCTTACGTCATTTCTTTAAGAACTTGCCATAACACCACTCTATATCCCGAGCCAAATAACCATACAATACTAACTATCTCAACAATAACATACTCGATAGTGTAACCCCAATCCTGAAGTATAATACCCTACTTAACATCAATCTTTTTCCAACGGAATTTGCCCAACTGCATACAGACCATAGAATTATTGTATTACCTGTTTTCAATGACTAAAACCTTACATTGTAACACCTATGATGTTACATTCAAAGCGCCATTGCAATTTTTTTTTGTTCCTTCTTATTACTGGCAGTGAATTAATTATCGAAGCAAATGTCAAGAAACAATTTAAGACCAAATACCTGGGAGGTACTAATACCAATCATAGTAGCATTAAAGAATGTTTCGCTTCAACATTACATTGTTGATTTTTTTATTAGATTTTGGGACCATTCCCAACCGGGACTCGAGAGCAAGAGTTTGGCGCGGATCCATTAGAAGCATACGGTAGCTAATTAATGAAAATTTATAAATTTGTTTGCTTCTCTAAACAAATTTGTTACCTTTGCAATATAAACACGTAGGCGGATTCACGAATCTAGAATATTCTACAACTGAAACATATCCTTCTGAATTAGCGGATAATGGAAGAGTTGGTTGGTCTATAATCTCAGAAAATGAAAATGGCTCGATTGGTCCTTTCAATTTTCCGAATGTCAGGTAAGATTTCGAATTTATATTGTCGCTGTTTGCAAAAAAAGAATGTAGGAAATCTAGGAAATCTGAGAATCGACTGTACATGTAATAGATAAATTCGTGAGATAATACTTGCGTACATTTTCGTTTAACGTTAATGGTCAACATGAAAACGTAGTACATATTTTTATTTTATCTCACGAATTTCGATATTGGATGGGTTCTCCGATTTCCTACGTTAACGTTAACTGCAATTTGCATGACTACACCCTTTTTTGCAAACAGCGATAACGAATTGCATCATCAATACAATAAATTTAAATAAAGCTTATCGATTTCTTTTAATGAAAGGTGGAATTTCAATCAGCAATCGCTCGGTTGGGCGATAAATCAATTTCAAATTTGGGCACGAGGAAAATTCAATGTGCCTCTTGACTCATTTTACACAACAACAACAAACACTGCCACAATAAAATTCCAATGTTACAATGTTACAGAATTTTACATTAATGACATTCGTTTTTACGGCGACTGTTACAACTACAGAAACCAATGGCACATTTTACACCTTACTCCGGGAACTCACACAATCAGGGTTCGTATAGTGAATGAAACTCGTATTTTTGGCGGAAAAGTTCCACCTGCCGTCCAATTTTCAGCGGATATTTATCCAGTGTCTTCCTTAAATTTGGAAGATTCGTTCTTAATACTTGAAGATGAAACTTCAGTTATTGTTCCAGATTTGATGGATGGAAAGTTGGCGGGAGAGGTTATGAGTGTTCCAATTTTAAATGCCAGCCATCTTTGGTGTTATGTGGATAAAGTCGAAGCGCTAATGGTAAACTATAAGCAATCATTGTTTAGATTCTATCGCGAGATTTTCCGAATTCGTTTTTAATATAGGTAGAAAACACACCATTAGAAGATTCAGATTTTAAATCTGCAAAACCTCCGAATCTTCTCGGAGCAAAACTAAGTTCCGATGCTCAAAAAAAAATATTTTTTCGAATAGCGCCATCACAACAACGACATCTTAAAATCCATCTAAAACTGGTCGAGAATAATTGGTCGCAGAAAAATATTTCTTTTCAACTCAAATTTGGCATCATGCTTGAAAATAATACATACATAACATTAAAATCCAATGTAACTACAATAAAGCTGAAGAAATTTGGCGAACCTTTCAAGTTTACATTTGAGGACTTTGATGGCACGGTTCAATATGGTTGGTTTTTTCAAAAAATTAATAAAAAGATGCAATTAGATTAATTGAGCTTATTCTTTCTTTAAATAGCTATTGCTATTCCGCCACTCGAACCTATTACAAATTGTTGTCCTTTACTTTTGGCTTTACACGGAGCGGGTGTAGAAATAGAAATGCCGTTCTGGAAAAATGCTATCAAAAGACAAACAAAGGCTTGGGTAAAGACTTATTATTTTTGAGTTTTTATGTATGTATGCGTACAAGATAGGTGAATAGTTTTGAGAATATCACAGGTTTTACTGCCAAGCGGAAGAACTCCTTGGGGATACGATTGGCATGGACCAAGCAGAGCAAATGTATTTACAGCAATAGAAAGCTTAAAGTGTCTATCTTTTGTGAATATTCAAGCTTTTAGCTCAACTATTTTAACTGGTTTGATTAAAATTTAATACCTATCATTATTGAATTACTTAATTATTTAGATTAATTCGATAAATTCTTGATTTAGGGCATTCGAATGGAGGTCAGGGTGCTTGGTATTTTTTGACACACTTTCCTGATACGTTTGTTGCAGGTTTGGTTTACCTTTTTACATGAATTTGAAGCCTTCATTCTTTTTGATAAAATGATTTTTTATAGGAGCGCCCGCTGCAGGATTCACAAAAATCCAACGATATGTTCCATATTATTGGAATAGTGAGGCGCATATTGATCCTATATTGCAAGCGGCAAGTAATTAGAATATAATCGAATTTTTTTTATATTTATAACTATTATTAATATCAGTATTTAAAAAAATTAGATTCTTGAATCTTCAATCGCAGAGAATAACAACGACTTGTATACTTCGAATCTCGTAAGTTATTGAATCATCACTCAATAATAAACCTACTAATTAAATTAATTTTGTTTGGCCAAAAAAGACTGGAATCCCAATTCTAGTTCGTACAGGTTCTGAAGACGATAATGTTCCACCAATACATTCACGTAGCTTGGTTCGTCTCGTCGATGAACATTCACATAACAATAACGATAATGAAATAAAGTATCTCAATTTTTTCAAAGTATTTGTACGACGGATAAAATGTAATTATTTAAAATTTTTTATTACGTAGATTAATAGAAGATCCAGGAAAAGGACATTGGTTTGATGGTGTATTAAGTGACGACAAAATTCAGCCATTTTTTGATAAACATCTTTATCAAAAAGATGAAAACGAAGGAGCGATCAATGAAGCTGAATTTTATCGTAACTTTTCAAAAGGATTATTTTCTCAAAAAAAAGAATTCACCTTGACTCTGATAAATCCTGCGGGTTGCGGTACTAAAGGTGGAGTCCAAATTGAGCAATTGGAGACTCCTTATAGGTACGTGTATCTTATTAAAGAATCTTCTTTATCATTTCTGTCTACGTATGCATATTGATATCGATATCGATGTGTTTTAATAGATTGGCGAAATTTACAATGATACTAAATAACGATAACGACACCGATGCGTCGGATTCCAGCAAATTATTCGACTTCAAGACTACAAATATCAGTAGATTTACAATTGATAAAGTAAATAAGCAGGGAAAAGTTCAATTACAAAAAGTATTATATTCTAAGAATGAAAATGGAACTTGGGAGGTATTATTTGTCTTCGATTCCTATTCCTACAAAAGTTCAAAACAGAAATCATATGAATAATTCATGGAATGACATGGGAAATGTTAGGATCTCGATAAATTCCTTGCGCTTACGGAAATCGATTAGTTTTCCGTAGTTAAACGTATAGAATTTGTCGCTGAAGCATATGACTGCGTGCACGTCCCAATAATTTCAATGTCATTCCATGCGTTTTCGTCCAAATGCTTTATTGATAGCATTTAATTAAAGATCACAAATAACGACGAAACATGGAAGAAAACCCAAAGACACAGTGATAATTACGGACCTGCAATTCAAATTCTCGAATCTCCTGGACCACTGTTGATTGTAATTGGGAACCAATTTAAAGACAGGCCATCTTCAGTATATATGCGTATTGCACTAGAGATAGCCAATTCATGGTTCCTTTATGGCCGAGGCGATTCGTTGATACTTGCAGATAGAGAGTACGCTGAAATTAAATCTTCTGGAAAAGTCCCAAATGGCAATTTAGTTTTGTTAGGTGGACCAGATATTAATTCTGCTACGAAGAGTTTACTAGATAAAAGACCTAGCGCAGGTATTTACTTACGCGTTTATATGTATTCTTCATTAAACAGATAATCGCGGTTTTATGTATTCTTCATTAGTCAGATAATTGCGTTTATATGTATTCTTCATAAGTATAGTCAGATCAGATAACTTTATATCATAACATTATTTAATTTTCTATTTTTATAGTAACATTTGATATTGAAAATAAAACCTTTACGATTGCAAAAAGGAATTTTAACGAAAAAAATACAGGTAACCATTTTTTTAGATCACACTATGTATACTCTTTTTAGGTTTATTTACATTTTTTTAATTTTTTAGGAATCCTTTTTCTTCATCCGTTTGATCAGTCTGATGGAAAATCATATTTATCATTGATTATCGCTAGCACAGATGAAATAGGCTTTGAAAACGCTGCGAAATTGTTTCCTAAGCGAACTGGCGTGCCGGTTCCTGATTGGACTGTTGTTGGTCCCGAAGTGAAATGGAAAGGCGCTGGAGGGTTACTTGGAGCTGGGTAAGTCCTTTTCTTTTAGCTTAGCTCTATTATGCTCTATCAAGTGAATATTTATCCCTTTGATTTTCGATTATTAGGTTTTGGAATAACCAGTGGAAATTCAATTCTGCTACAGGGTATTTACTATAATTTGTGTTGAAGTAATCGAATACGCCAAAGTGCATGTATGAAAAATTCAAATGATGAAAATTTTACTAAACTACATAGGGTGGTAGGAGCAAAAGGTAAAGGTTACTTAGTACTATTAAAAGGATTCATTTCTTCAAAATCAAAAGATTCAACCATTTCCTGTGCTATGTCATGATCATTTCCTCTTG